TTATTTTTTTTAACTTTTCGCGCTCAATTCTGAATGTGCTGTTAGCTATTATAGCAGGTACAGACCGCGAAGAAAAAAGACGGCTATAGGGCGACGTATAACCGACCATGCTTTTGAGTATCACAAATATGTTACATTAAATCAGTTTATAGTAAGTATTACAATAAAATTTGCTTCAAATGCGTTAAATTTATAATAATAATAACGTTTATTTGGCTCAAATTATATAAATAACTTATTGTATTACATAAAGATGACTATGTACCAAATTATAAAAACATTAATTAGATACCTGTCGAAAAAACAACACTTTACGTACTATTAGTATTTTTTTGTAGTAGCTCTGCGGCATTTTGACTTTTCATCGGTCCGCGCGTGACTGTAAACCAAAAAGTGCTTGAATAAAGTTTAAGCACTTCTTGATTGGGACACATTTTGAGCGATCGTGGTCTATCTAGGGTATTTAATATCGTTAATTCCATGTCTTTATCTAGGTCATAAAGTATGCGCACTTAATTTCATACAAATCGGTTTAATCGTGTAATAGTAACAAACATCCATACAAATTTTCGGGTTTAAAGTTTTAGTACGATATGATTAAAAACTGTTGGTTGTATACTCATGATATCTGTTATTGTATACGATGAAATAAATAGTTTTTATTTATTTTTTCTATTTCCGTAGCTGACAAACTTATCGATAAACTTACGGGTACAGACATGAGCTGCGTCAAGTCACTAGCAATACACGTGCCGGTGTGAGAGCGGAATAGCATATATGATGTAGCGCATGCGAGAAAGGGATAGTGTTAAAAGACATCAACGCGTTCACCAAAAAATAAATACATTTAAAAGCAATTTCATATAAGAGTATTTTTGTCTTTTTGTAATGCATTTAAACTTACAGGTGAAAAGTAATACCATCTTTTTGAAGACTGGAAGTTTTACTTCACTTTCCACATAATTTAATTGCACAGTACGGCATTTTTTCTAGTTTTTTAACGCAAAAACGAGAGAAGCACTTCTGCTAACGCTCGGCTTCGGAATGAAACGATGTATAGCGACGTCTGTGGGCGTGTCTCACGCATACGTAATATACTACTTAAGCTTGGCGTAAGCGCTTGCCCTTGTATGCGGACTCTAGTGGGGGTGCTCCATGTCATGCATAAAGTCTGTATAAAGTTTTTTATAATAGGGATGACGCTGAAGCCTTTTCTCTAGCGCAAAAAACCGGTGCACAGCCTGTGAATAACTTTCGCCTAATGTATCTGTATTTTTATTAAAAGGTATACGAACACAAAATCGTCCGTCACTATTTCGCGTAGTTGTAGTGACGAAATGTTCCTCACACGCGCGTTCCTCGTCTGTGCACGTATCCCGAGCTACAGTTACTTCCTCGAGCTCCCAAAACTGACGTAGCAAGGACTCGACTGATTGAGAGAAGTTGCATTGTATGTACTTATCTTGTCGCAAAAGCGTACAAATAGGTCCTGACACTACCCACCCGAGTTTAGTATCTAATAAGAAAGGCCCGCTTAATAACTTTAATTTATTGTTATTATTTAATAAATCCCAAAATTTATCTGCGCCGATTAGAATGTCTATCTTGTGGGATTCATAAAATTTCGGGTCCGCTAGTTGAACATTGTCGGGAATGTCGAAATGAGAAGATTGGAGTGTTATAGCCGGTAACGAAGGAGTGATTACCGGAAGAACATAACACTGCAAATGCGTAGAATACGGGTTGGTGCGCGATTTAATCTCGATGTCACATATTTGAGTTGAATTTGTGACCGAGTTACCAACACCTCGTATTTGTTGAGTGGACTGTATTACTGGCGCTTTAAGTGAATCGCATAATTGTTTAGTAATGAAACAACGTTCGCTCCCGCTATCAAGGAGCGCGCGGGCAACATGAATATTATTATAAGGATCGGCTATCTCAACTAATGCAGTAGACAGCAAAACAACATTGGCCGCTATTGTTTGTGCATCAGGTAAATGTGCTTTATTCGCATGTATGATTGAAACCTGTTCTGATAAGGATGCGACAGGCGACCGCGGGACGGAGTGCGTGGGGAAAGAGGGCTTACGCCCGGAGTGAGCGAGCGGCGCAGGCGCAGGATCCTCAGTGCGGTGCAATGCGTGAACTGCGTCGGAATTGTTATTTACATTGTAGGACACGGATGATATGTTACTGTCATTATGAATTAGCGAATTATGTTTTTCGTTACATTTTCTGCAGGGACCAAAACGGCAATAATCGGCAGTGTGACCAGTGCGCAAACAATTAACACACAGTTTCATATCGCTAACAAATTTTATTTTCTTATCGTAATCGTAATTTAGAAACTTTATGCATGAATATAGTGGATGGTTCGCCTTGCATAACAAACAGGTTTTCCCAGTGACATCTCGTGAATAGCGTTCCGGTGGCTTACCGGCAGAAACATTACAGTGAACTTTTGATTGACTATGTTGTTGTGGGTAGTGTTTTTTATTTTCAAAATTTGCCTTGTTATGTGATAACTGTAACGTTTCTAGCATGTCAGCCCGGTCATTAAGGAAACCAATTAAATTATCCACCTTAAGCTGTGCCTTGTGATTATTATTAGCAGATAATGTGGTGCCTTTGTATTGTTCCCATTCGCGTTCAGTAGTTGGGTCTAATTTAGATACCATTATATAAATAATCAGCGTATCCCACGATTCAGTTGGCTCACCGAGAATTTTTAATGCACGCAAATTCTTTAAAACTGTGTCTATTAATTTTCTTAATAAAGCTGGAGACTCTTTGTTGATACTTGGCATTGTGAATAGACATTTAACGTGATTATGAACCAGTAATCTGCTATTATTGTAACGATTGAGTAGTAATTCCCAGGCAATTAAATAGTTGTCACTAGAAAACTCAACCGAATTTATAACCAGTTCCGCGCTTCCCCTAAGTGACGATTTAAGGTAGTGGAACTTTTCTATATTACTTAACTCCTGAGAATTGTGGACTAAAGATAGAAAAGTGTCCCTAAACTCTAACCATTGTTCACACAAACCGTTAAAGGAGGGTAAAGAAATAGTAGGTAACTTTATAGATTTACTACTATGACTACAAGCGTTGGAGTTGCTGGCAAGTTGGTTTGGGTTCAATAGATATTCAGCCTGCGCTAGGATACTGTAATAACCATCTTCGAACGATTCTCTCTGCGTTAACTGCTCATCCAAATCAACGGCTAAGTCCTCCAATTGACTCTGAATATCATTGAATTCTTTATATAAATTTGAAGCCCCTTGAATACGCAACTTTAAATCTATGCGAGACTGACTTGAAATATTCTCTACTTTCATGTTACAGAGATAGTTAGCAAATTTGGTTAATCTACCCTTAACTATACCGCGTTTCCTCACTAAATCCTTAATCAAGCTCTCATTGCTACATTTGTAATGGGATTTTTCACGCACTAGGCTTGGATCTACACTCATTTTGGTGAAAAGTAGTAAAGAAGGAGTACTTACGATTTGAAATGTAACTGCCGCAGCTGTTTCGCGGGTTGAGTCGTAGGCTCGTAGTAAATATACACAACAAATTAAGTACTGGAATAAGACAAAATGCACAGTATTACACAGAGGAAGTGGAGATAAAGCAGGAATAGACGGGATGGCTGGCTGTACCTTTATGCGCGTTTCAAAGGCTAGCTGGCTTCTCCCACGATTTGCGCTTATGCTTAGTGGCTCCTGGACTTCCGGTTGCTGCTGTTACTGCTGTGCTTTTGTAGAACCTCTCGACCTTGCGACTTATTTCCTGGTTCGTTACAGACGTTGAACCGTCGGTTGCAACAGTCGCTGATTCTTCTAGCGTATTATCCGGCGAAAAAGGTCCAAATGTTTCGGCGTTATGCGTACTCTTCAATAAAGCTCAGTTGTTTACTTCAATAATGCGTATATTGCGAATATAATTACAAAATAAAATAAATAAATGAAAATTGCGAAAGAAAGTTGAGCGTACAAAATTTGAATTGCGTAGAGAGTGAAGTGAAAAGGGGGGTTTTTTGATCACGTGGGTCAAAGCTGCTTCTACTGGTGGAAATGGAGCGACGTTCCGGTGTAGGCAGAACTTTTTACTCAAGCGTCAACACCGAGATTATTTTTTCTCGTCGGTCAAAATATTCCGAGCAAACAGATTTACATAGGAGTGATGGGGGGGGGGGGGGGGGGCAATGGCCTAACGGGATTGCTATGGCTATCGCTATCCTTACGTTTTTATTTTGCTATTTCCGACCGTCGAAATTTTTCAAATGCTCTTCCTTTTCTTTTGTATTGGTAACAACAATATAAAACAAAATGAGCGTAAGATATTTGAAAACCTTCCGCGGTCAGAAATAACAAAATAAAATCGTAAGCTATAGTTTAGCCATAGTAATACCGTTAGGCGATAGACCCCCTGAGCGGAATTACCGAACGATTCAGACTAACAAAATTGATCAGACGCAGATAACGAACACATCTGCAAACAGTGCAGCCATTCATTTGACATTGTGGGTGACCTACAATGCGAAGAGATGGCGCTGCCTTGCAAGTTAAGAATGGCTAGAAGAATTTTGACGCGGCCGTCAGGGCCGCGGTAGCATTATTGGTCAGTGCATTCGCCCGGATAGCGAAGGGTGCGGATTCGAGTCCCGTCTGCTGCCTGGCCCGCGTGGAATTTTTCTAGTTATATTTTCTTTAGATTTAAGCATCAAGCAGTTACATGCTTAAAAAAATTATAAACTCTAATTATGTTCTCCTTTAAGTTTGTACGAGAAACCATTTTTTTCTGGCGGACGAAATATACTGCTGCTTGTTATACACAATACTATACCTTATTCAGCGACCTGATCCGCGTGAATTTTTTACTAGTAATATTTTCTTTAGATATAAACATCATGCAGTAACATGCTTAAAAAATAAAAATTATGAATTACTACAATGATAGTGACCATGAAAGGTTCAAACAAAATACTATACCTATGTCGTAGTTGTCTGTGGCGAACTCCCAGCACAGACAGCGTGCTCTATGGTGCGTGGGCACTCGCACAGTGATAGTTTCTCCATGGCCTACGGTCAATTTCCCTCCCCCTTCTCCAGCGGATTCCTTGAACTGAGTTATATCACCGCGTGTCCACATACGAGCCTCTTCAACTGCCGGAAATACGTCTACGGACCAGAATTTACGTTTTCGTTAACATTTTCCATAGAATTTATTGCCTATATATAACATATTGATTGCTATATGAAGAGGAGCTCGATTGCGCGGGTGATTAGCGCGTTCGGCTGCGATCGTTGAAGTTAAGCAACTTTCGCAGTGGTCGGTCATTGGATGGGTGACCAAAAATCTTCTATCTCTAGTTCCTCCGTGCTTTGGAAGGCACGTTAAGCCGTTGGTCCCGGCTGCATCTGCAGTCGCTAGCACCCGCCAATCCGCACTGGGCCCGCGTGGTGGGTCATGTCCCAATCTCCCTATTTAATCCATAGGGAAGGCCTGTGCCCCAGCAGTGGGGACATTAATAGGCTGATGATAACGATGATGATTACTACATTATTTAAATGATACTATATGCAAGACTAAGCAAAGAAGTTAAATGAAATTGATTATGGATCAAAACTAGTTCTTTCAAAGGATATGCAGATGCAATGAAACACATTAGTGTATAAAAAAACCATATCCTCTAAGTCTAAGAGAATTTCTCTCTCATAAAAGTAGCCCATTGTATGTACTATTTTCGCAATTAAGCACTTCCTTCTGGTCCTCTCTATCCAAAGGTTGTCTGTAAGAGATCGCTCTCAGCGATAAGGCCGCCCATTGTTACACTAGTTTTAATTATTTATTTATTAAATGTAATGTTATCTGTGTTGTACAATAAAGTGTTTTGTATTGTATTGTATTGACCTATCCATGGACAGATTTTTACTCTCAGTGCACTAAAGCAATAGATATAAAGAAATATAATAAAAATATCATATCATACCATCTCCATCAGACTCTTCTTCACCTCGTGATTCTTCGGCGTAGTCGGTGATTTCAGTTTTGTCAGAGGTTTGCATTGACCTGTTAAAAGCATATTCTATATTTCTACAGTAATACGATAAAATAATGAAAATATATTCCCTAAAGATCCCGACTTTTTCAGTGTACTTTGAAGTGTGTCAGTTTATATATATATATATATTACAACACATACCAATTAGCCCTAGCCACAAAGTAAGCACTGTAAGGCTTGTGTTGTGGGATGCTAGGGTAACGGATAGAATACATATACTGTACATAAATAATATTTATATAGAAATACATATTAACCATCCATAACTGGAGTACATATTCAGCACACAAACATCTGCCCCTACCGGGATTCGAACCCGGACCTCTCGAGTCGGCGACACCATGAAACCCGGCGTAGAAACCACTCGGCCACGGAGATCGTCTTTATATAAAACTTACTTGCTATTCTCCATAGCATCTACTGCCTCTACATCATTCAAATTACAATCCTTGGCATCTTCCTTGTCCGCTTTAAGGGTCTCCGGATCATTATCATAATGTTCTTCATTGTCATCGTCAATTATGTTAGTGTTAGCTAGTCTCTGGTCCATTGCCAGTTGTTGAATATATTGCTGGTAGTGTTGATCTTGCAGTTGCCTGATAAGGATCGCTTGCTGGTCAAAGTTGCCAGGATACTGCTGTTGTGCATACTGAAGGAACTGATCATAGGTTTGCGCGTTCAAGGCGTCTTTTATTCTTTGGCTAAAAATAACAAAGAAAATGTTAACTTTACACATGAAGCAATTAACTGTTATTATACATGACGACATAGAAACGACATATTCAGATAGCGGAGGCTCAAACCGACCCACCACCACGACTTGGTAACTGATTGCAACACAGGACTCCATAATTGTCTTATGGTAAGCAAACAAGAATGTGACCCTTCCGAAGTAAAATAACTACCAACGATATTGGTATTGCTACTGTCAATGGGCGCATACACATCTATATAGTCCGATTTACGGGATCCTTTTTAACGCTAAAAACACATCATGTAAAATATCTTCAAATGAGCAAAAGTGCTAGACATATGACTATTGCTTTTTTTTCAAATACACCCACTGCAAATTGAGATTCCCTTAATACCACAGCACTACATTACATTTTTTTTAAAATCATAATGGTAACTTCAACAACTGCCATTTTCATTAGTTGATTGCACCCAAGTGAAGCCCACGAGAATTGCTCATCACACTAATATTATAACGGCGAAAGTTTGTGAGTGTATGAGCGTGTATGTTTGTTACCTCTTCACATCTAAACAACTGGAGCAATTTTAATAAAATTTGGAATGGAGTTAGCTGACACCCTGGATTAACACATAGGCTATTTCACTGCAGGAAAATATCCCTAATAAATCGCTGGTAACCCCGCGGGGCACAGCTAGTACTTAATAAATGAATAACACTTACACTTGTTGCTCTTCAGTCAATTTAGTACTTTGTTGCTTTTGTTTTTCTAAAATAACTCTATTTTGTAGTTCCAAGTGGGCCCTTTCCTCTTCCTGTTGCTTAAGTCTATATAAAAGAATGTAATAAAAATTAATACACACAGCATGCTATGTTTTTAATTGCAGAAAGTCACTGGTGAAGTTACCCAAAACTTTCTAACTTCTACAACAGATTTAAAGCTTTATCTTGCTTTATGATTCATAATCAATTAAGAATAGTTGCATAACTTGATATTTGGCTGACTAAACATAAGCTCAGCAATGTAATTGTTAATCTTTTAATTTACCCCCTTATTAATAAACAAGGAATAAACTTAAGACTAGTTACGCCGTGTTTTGTTCATATCACTCAAATGGCATTTGTCATTCAATAAACGGAGACAAAACATAGAGTAACTAATCCAAGTTTATTCTTCGTTTATTAATCATCATCATCTCAGCTGTATTCATATATTTATTTACAAATAACATGGTACAATAAATATGATGCTCAAACATGATTAGCTAAATTAGCATGCAAATATCAAATTATTTTTTAATATGACGACATCAACGTCCACTGCTAAGCATAGGCTTCCACTAAATTCCCCCATTATTAGTTTATTAATAAAGTATAACAAGAATATCACTAAAATAATAATGCCTACTTGTACTACATTTTATTTGACTCTAGTTAAATAAAATGGTCTTATTAACTTACTGTTGTTGTTTTTTATTTTCATAATCCTTTTGTATTGCTTCTAAATATGGCTTGAATAAGGGACATAACCTGAAAGCAATTTCATAGTACAAAAGGTTTATTTTTATAAATCCATAGTTAGCATGATTAACAATACTAAAACATATAGATACGCGCTAATAAACAAAATCAAATAAGGTCAGAGTTTCTTGCATTGTCATTTTCAATTCATTCTTCATTGGTGCCAGTTTTACAAATCTATCAAAACTTCTTACAATGATTATCCTTTATAAATAGAAATTTTTGTAAAAAAAAATATCTACAATACACAAAATCTTAAACAATTTTGTAATACCTATCTAATGTGTGTATAAATCCAGCCATAGCTTGGATCTGTGTCATTTGACCCAATGCTTGCCATGCTGCTCTTCGGTCTCGACCAATAACATCGAGAACTCCTAAAGGAGGAGCCGAGTTTACATCAAGAGGACCATGTGCAGTCTGTTGTGTAAAGGCAACCAGTTTTAACCTGTCTTCATAACTTAAATGCAACGCTTTGCCTTCTTTATCTATAAAAAAAAATTAAGATTAAGAACATATTAAGAATGTAATCCTATGTGCCGGAATTTTGAATGTACAGCTAGTGCATATATACTCTATCAACAGTAATAAATTCAATCAAACCAGTTTTTGATTGGAAAAGATTACCAAGCTATTAAACTCATATTCCGTCAACAGTATAGTGTTCTATGATTACATAGGTACCACGAAACACATAATTATCACGAATTTGAAAATAGTTTTAAAGCAAAAATAATATCAAGAAAAAGGTAGTTACTCATGTTTACACCATTTTAATTAGTTTTATAATGTTGCAGTAAGATTTGAATTAAATATCGTATGTCTTGTATTAACTATTCAAGTATAAAATGCGTAATCTAAAGTACCTATTCTATTCCAAAAATCGTTATAATAGAATTTACGTACCTTTGTAGAAAGACAATCCATGTTTATACACTTCCTTTAGAGGTAAACCCCACTTTCTTTCTTCACTCTCCATTATGCCTTGCTCAGTTTCAAGAGGAATCTTTTCCGGATTCACTTTGCTAGTATTTTCGCTCATAATTAATAGATTTTTCAGATCTTTTGCAGTAATATTTTCCAAGTTCCAACTAAACCAACACCAACATTCATTTCACGAACGTTTCATTTCATCGCGCATGACACACGCATGTATAACGATTTAATCCTGCTTTATTACTCAGTGCTTATTTATAAAAAGATTTGTGAGTGAAAATAAACCAATAAAAATTAAATTATTCAAAGTTAGTGAGGTAAAAGTCAAATAAATTTATTTCACTGCAATTTCCGTGTTTGTAAACCTGCCTGTTTAGAAACAATATCTATAGTCTTCAACCAAAATTAAAGAATATTTAAAAACATACATACGTATTCTGTGACGACCATAGAGAACAGAAATGAGAGAAGCCCTACCATCTGAATCACAATACGATTGGATCGTTTGCATCTGTACAAAACTTAAAACTTTTAACATCAGTCTATCCTTCATAATGACAAGGATACACTGTTGTCAAAATTAAGTTTAGGTTTAGAAATTCATGTCTGAATTGACATCACTCTAAATGTCAAAAAAAATACAAATAAACCCGCTGAACTGCTTTTGATAGATGGAAGTGATAATCACCAAGCTAATTATAACGCCACTAGGATATTTTTTTTGAAAAGCATCGAGAGATATGCTATTTTTTAAGTGAAACTTCTTTATGATGAGGTTAATATATGTTTTGTCTATTGTTGTTATAATAAAGTAGTGGCTGGTAGGTGTCAAATAAATATGACATATTAAGTTTGTCTTGTTTGAGTTAATTGGTTTTAGGAATTTGAATAAATATGGTGTATTAAAGTAAATGATGTTATTATTCACAGTTTAAACAAATATGGTAATTTCCACATAATATTAGTGTTCTAATACTTTAAGCACGCTTTACTTGGGGGGTAAGCTGGCGAATGCGTTATGAAAAGTGTGTTCAAGGGAGTCGAGTGGGGGATATAAGCAAGAGAAAGCAGTGCCCGCTCACATTTTCTTTCTCTCTTTCTCTTATAGCTAGTAAATGAAATATGTATATACATGTAGTATATATTGTACACAAATATATATATGTATATACAGATGGAGCTTAAGAAGTTTTACTTCAGTCGTGTGGTCATAAGTACACTCGTTATTTTTAGTTACGAGTACTACCACCAGTATTTGAATACTTCAGTGGTTTGGAGTTATTTTTCAATGTAATTTGGGATTGTTTTTGACATCAAAACTAATATTCAATATTTCATTACAAGGTACGTCTGATAAAATTTTTATTTATTTATTTATTTAAGAACACAAACAGCGTATTGTACAAAATTTGCGTAGTATCTATTTACCACACGTGTAAATCTAGTGTACCATGTTGGTTGACGTCAAGTCAACGCGATAAACGATCAATGGTGTCAATTCTGGCGTGATTCTCTAATCTTAAAACTAAATTTAACATCAGTTTCTCCTTTTCATTCTGTATAGAGAATGACAAAGATATACTGCTGTCAAATTTAAGTTTAGGTTTAGAGAATCATGCTAGATTCGACACCAATATTCGCTTCAATCAAGTAGACTTGACAAATCGACTTGATTGTCTCCGGGACGCTTTAGAATACGAATACAGTAAGTACTCGAAACTTGTATTTGAGAACTGTGGATCTGAATTCAGTAAAGAGATTAATGTATTCCAGTCAATTTGACACGGTACATTACTACCTGTCACTGTCACTGACTGTCATAGAAAAAGTCAAAGAGCCACCTTATGTGACGTTGGACGATCTTATAAAATTATAATTTGTTGTTTTCGACGTAATATGATAAAGTTTTCTAGGAAACAGTCAAATTTTAAAATCGGTGTTCGTTTTACGTAGTAATTCACCTAAAAATAAATTATGCCTATGAATATCCTTAATAATATCTTAATTTTTTTGTGTCAAAATTCACTAGCGATCACCAGAGGTTCTTTATCTAACACATTGTTTACAATTTAGTGAGGATAAAAAAATTCATATTTAAAGAAAAAATGGAAGTGAATCCTTTGAATATATTCTTTGTAAAATCGGACAGCAAAGGAGACCGATTGTTGTTCAGATACCCTTACACAACTGAAAGTAAAGATGAAAACACTCAAAAGAAATGTGGCAGGCATAATCCGTACGCAATCAACTGTATAGAAGACCTTCTGCAAAACCCACAGTCCCAAACTTCGAATATATATCAAGGTAGCAATTCAAATGATTTTATTTTATCTATTTAATTTCTCTTAAAGATGTTCAAATAGAAAAATGTATTTTGCAACTACCCAATTGAGAAAATGTTAATAATTGTATCATATTATTTTAGGTCAACTCAGTGGATTCACAGATGAAATGTTATCAACACTATTTGCAGTGAAAGCAGAATTGTGTAATCGCAAATTCGAACTCAAAGTAAATGATGTGCGGTTCGTTGGCCATCCAACACTTTTGCCATACAGAACAAATAAGGATGATACTGCAGCAATGATATTAATAAATATTGTATTTGCTTTACGAGCCTCTGCAAGTCATTCTATAGGTAACAATGCTCTGACACTGTGTAGAATAATTGCATTTTATTTTTAAATAGAAGAATTATATTTGGAAATATATACAGTGCAACCTTATTATAAAGTACCTCAATATAACAACTTCCTTGATTTAACAAATTCTTCATTATCCCCTTGAATTTTCCATAAGAGTCAATGTAAAATATACCTTTACATTGCAAAACTTTTTTGCGAACAACCACTTTAAACTATTTTTTGACCTCTTTATAACAAATTTTAGACCCACCTAACCTCGATATAACAAAGCTCAGTCGAACGAATTACTTAATATAAATAATATTTTTTTGGTCCATTCCGATTTCTTAGATTGAGGTCCTACTGTATTAATAACTTATGAAAATTATATTTTTTTTATAGTAAAATGTTATTATGATTTGAGCAAAAGACTGGGTAAAGCTCTGAGACATGAAGAAAAGAGATGCTCATATTTGACTGAAGAAATGAAAATAATGGTGAGTGAAGAAGCAAAGTGAAGAAATGAGAATAAAGTAACTCAATATTTTAATAAAAGTTGTGAAGCTAGGATTTGTTAGAAAATATTCATGTTCATAATATTATTTACTAAGACTTCAATGCATGTCTTACACTTAAAATTCCCTATTGTTATTACAGTTAGCAGCGCATGATGAGGTGTCATCACTAGATAGTGAAATTAATTCTGGTGAAAATGATGAAGAGGATGATAGCTTGCGAACCTCAGTCAGCTCAAACACTTGTAACATGGAGAACGGTGATGACGGACCCAAGTCAGCCTTCCACCTAATACTGCAACGAAGTTCATTAGCGAGGTCTATGAAATCTGTATTTGAAGAATTGAGCAGCACAGGTAAATTAAAGTTTATTTTTTTAAAGTTCTCAAGACTTAGTGTGATGATTAATATCAATACTGTCATAGAAATAAACAAACCAAGACTGGAAGTTTCTGAAATAAATTTTCATCTTAATAACATTGTGTGGAAATTTTATATTTCAGGTATTGTTCAAGTCCGAATAAACAAATTGGTACTACTGTCGTTCTGTCTTCCACACAAAGCACATCAAATCCACAACAGAGGTCTGATCATAGAGCCAGAAACCATAGACAAGTGTTTACAAAAACTTAGACCTTATCATGGCTTATTGTTGCTAGTGAGTATTTTTTATGTAGTTGCTGTAGAGCGGAAAGTCACCAAGCGTGCAGCATCACTGCTCTATGAAATGATAATGAAACTGCACATGGAGCGGATAGCCACCTTGTGCCGCAGCTTAAGGCAGCGCACTCCAGAACTCTATTTAGACCTTAATAAACCGAAAACTTGGTTCAGGATTTGCAGGTGAAAAATAACTTAAGTTTTTTTTGTTTGTTATTTCTTTTTTTTAGTTATTATTAGTAATGCATTAAATGTAATATTGTCAATCTAAGCGCTATATATAATTATCTATAATCTATCATTCTATAATTATCTTTTTTCTAAATATTATTAAATCAAATAGTGAGAATAATCTGATATAAAAATAAGTAATGTTTTTTTAACTTTAAACCTTGGTGACTTTTTGCTCTACAGTGACAATGTATTCTATTTTATTTAATAATTGGTTACCATTATTGAACTTTATTTGTGACTAAAATTAATTTAAATTAATTGCAACTCTAATAACAATTCGTTCAATATTTGTGGATTCTTTAAATTGCTAATTGATTGATAATGTTTTGTAAATAATATTGATATTTTTGTTAACAATGCCATTGACTTTAAATGTTGTTCATAATTAAGATAAACCTAAAAGATATGTATGGGCCAGATCTAGGTTAGCAGCAGTAATACTTTATACATATCTCTTTGTTGTAGTTTTATTAAATGAGTGGTGTACTTGAAAGCAGAAATAAATAATTACGTATGGTTTTTCTCAATTATCAAACCCTGGGAAAACTTTTTAAAACAACTATAAAGAGCAAATGTTTAAAAATAACATAAATTTAAGATACTTAAAGTGATACTTAAAACTTAAGTGAGGCGCTGCAATCGCTAAGTTGTCTCAATAAAAGCGGGCTTAATTGAAATGACCAATGTGGCGAGCAAAATTTGTACAATATTCAACTAACTTCATCTACTTGTACTCATAAACAGCTAACTTCACAGATACTACTTACCGACTGCAGAGCGGCTGGTGGCTGAAAAATGAATTATAAATTCTACAAATTTTCAGGGACAGGCGGACTAATGCTTTAGTACCTAGAGATCATTCTTCTTCTCTCTAACCTCCATGGTCAAAGTCTATATGAAAAAGCTAAGCAGCGCCCCTACCGGACGTAAGAATGAACTGGCTCGTTCCTTACCAAATTTGACAACAATGATAATTTCTTCTTTCAAATGTTTAATACTTGAAAAGGTATTCATTTGACATTGTGGGTTACCTACAATGCGAAGAGATGGCGCTGCCTTGCAGCTTAAGGCTAGGAAAATTTCGACGCGGCTAATAGGGCCGTGGTAGCATAATGGTCAGTGCATTCGCCCGGATAGCGAAGGATGCGGGTTCGAGTTCCGTCCGCTGCCTGGTCCGCGTGGATTTTTTTCTAGTAAACTTTTCTTTAGATTTAAACAATGATAAGATTATGGAGCTGTCAAAATTCGCTCTTGGGCCACTGAACATTATTTCTTTCTATCACAGGTGAATCCAAATGATCTTCTGGCATCCATACCCCTCGACGGCAGCCCCTCATTGCTGAGGCTAGTGAAGATGTACAGTCCACTGAAAAGTCTTCAAACGCTTGCAATCGAAACGGACTTGTCTCTAACACAGGTGACATTTATATGTACAGATATATGTAATAAATAATTTCTGAGAGGAACTGAATATCTTGCGACGTCACTTACGATTTCTTTGTAAATTAGTGAGAGTTATAAAAACACTTATCTTCGTATGTATTCTTCTTTAACATCATAAAATTCATCTAAATCAGTTTGGCGGTGAATACATTTGAAAATTGGGCTCTACTGCTTAGCACTAAAAGCTATATTTGTATTGCAATGTGTTCACTCTCCTAATTAAACGTTAGCATATTCAAGTTATCCAAACCTGTTTAATTTCTCCTTTCTAATTTAAAGCGTTATTTTGGTTTGATATAAGTATAACAAGTGGTTTGAAAACTTAACATTAAATATTAACTTCATGTAATACTACTGACTATATTAACATCAATTTAAAAGCTACTTCGAATCTGATCTGAGCATGTATGTATTAAATATAATGCATTCAATACCTAATAGAACACTATATTTATAATTTACTAGAGGTGCACTCGCTTCGTTTCAGTATAGAGCTGTAGTGTAGATTATAATTTTTATTTTCAGACTTGTATTATAGGTAATTAATTTCTTTATATAATTATAAACCTCCCATGAAAATGTATTTAACTGAAAGTGAAAATTTTGTTGCGTAGTTTGTACCAGTTGTACCAAATGCACCATTTTTTGGTAGAACGCTCAAATCTCAGGAACAGGTGAAACGATTTGAAAAAGTCTTTTTGTGTTAGATAGTGCATTTATTGAGGGATAGTTAAGGCTATATAATATTACGCTGCAACCAGTAGGAGCGGAGTATCTATGTAAAATGTTGCAAACACGTGTTAAAAATCCATTTGGGAGATTCCGTTGCCTGCTCTGCGTAAATGATTAAAGTTACACAAAAATCTTGTATGACGGAATTGTTCCCCTTTAAAAGTTAGACATATGATATAGCGGACTTTTTTGTAGATATTTGGGTCCCCTAAAAAAACTTTGTCACATCACTTTGCTTTATTGTCAATGACATCAGCAACGTTAGCGATATGAGGTTATTTTTTGATATTTATTTCACACCCTGGGTTACATTAAGTTTTCATACGAAACCCTAACTTTTTTGAAAATACTCTATAGCCTATGTTCATCAGGGTTAGTAGGATTCTAAATGTGAGAGACTTTTTCAAATCAGTCCAGTAGTTTCGGAGCCTATTCAATACAAACAAACAAACAATCAAATCTTCCCTCTTAATAGCAGCAATCAAAATGTGAGTGGATATTGTATTGGTAGCAACATGTTTTTTTTGTAAAGTAGCATTTAAAAGAAGTAGCAACACTAATTCTGTCAAATGCTATGAAGTATAATTTCAATTTATTTCAATACTTTTGATCACAGGCTCCGAATTGGTTCCATTTATCTGAGGCCAAAGCACGCATTTGACAGCTCCATAATCGTATCGTCATCGTCTAATTTTGTATGGCTCCTACAGGATGTTAGAAACAACTGACAAAGAGCCAGTTGTTTCTAACGTTCGGTAATGTCCATAGAAACTTTGACGATGCGACTACGGAGCTGTCAAATTTCCTGCTCAATGGGCCTCTGTTCGGGTGAAAGCTCTTTTTTGTAATTTCTATTTTATTTTAGGTTTTCCAACTAACCGGCCACTTGGTGTACTGGGCGAAAGCGACTATAATTTATCCTTTGTGCGAGGGTAACGTGTATGTGGTGGCTCCCGGTGCAAACGTTCATATAAATTCTCCGCTTGTGGAAGAGTTCGCGAAGGAGTTCCCTGGACTATGTTTATTACAGGTGAGTTAGTAAAACTTTTTTGAATGCTGTCTTTTAAGAAAACACTTTTTACTGATATTTTAAGCATTTAACTGCAATTATTATATATTTCAATTTAAAGATAATTTTACTAGAAACAAATCCACGCGAAATAGGCAGCAGACGAGACTGCGAAGAGATGGCGCTGCCTTGCAGCCTAAAAATTACTAGAGAAAAAAATCGACACGGCTATTACGACTGCGGAAGCATAATTAGTGAGTGCATCCGCCTGGATAGCCGAGTGTGCGGGTTCGAGTCCCGTCTGCTGCCTGGACCGCGTGAAGTTTTTCCAGTAAAATTTTCTTTACATTGAATTATGACTGGAGTACAAATGTTCGTATTCATCACACAAACATCTGTCCTCACGGGGATTTGAACCCGGAGACTTCTCGAGTAGACAAACCCGCGTACATACTATTCGGCCACAGAAGTTGTCTAAGATGATGGTCGGCTAGATGTTTAAAGCGGTCCCGTTTGCTGTCTGGACCACGTGAATTTTTTTTCTTGATGAAATATCTTCAACTGAAGGGATTTGTGTTATCTCACGTAAGATGCTGAGCGAGTTCTCCCTACCCGCGCCGCTGTGGTACTCAGCCCGAGGAGGGGTGTCAGGCCGGCTTCCGCGCGTGGTAGCATGGCTGCTGCGGCGACGCCTGCTGCTGCAGCTGCACACCTACGTGCAGTTCAACTGTCCGCACTGGCAGCGCGCGCCACTCACACACCCAGGTACAGTGTCAGGCCGCCTGCCGCCTGCCGCCTGCCGCCTGCTGCTGCAGCTGCACACCTACGTGCAGTTCAACTGTCCGCACTGGCAGCGCGCGCCACTCACACACCCAGGTACAGTGTCAGGCCGCCTGCCGCCTGCCGCCTGCCGCCTGCTGCTGCAGCTGCACACCTACGTGCAGTTCAACTGTCCGCACTGGCAGCGCGCGCCACTCACACACCCAGGTACAGTGTCAGGCCGCCTGCCGCCTGCCGCCTGCCGCCTGCTGCTGCAGCTGCACACCTACGTGCAGTTCAACTGTCCGCACTGGCAGCGCGCGCCACTCACACACCCAGGTACAGTGTCAGGCCGCCTGCCGCCTGCCGCCTGCTGCTGCAGCTGCACACCTACGTGCAGTTCAACTGTCCGCACTGGCAGCGCGCGCCACTCACACACCCAGGTACAGTGTCAGGCCGCCTGCCGCCTGCCGCCTGCCGCCTGCTGCTGCAGCTGCACACCTACGTGCAGTTCAACTGTCCGCACTGGCAGCGCGCGCCACTCACACACCCAGGTACAGTGTCAGGCCGCCTGCCGCCTGCCGCCTGCCGCCTGCCGCCTGCCGCCTGCTGCTGCAGCTGCACACCTACGTGCAGTTCAACTGTCCGCACTGGCAGCGCGCGCCACTCACACACCCAGGTACAGTGTCAGGCCGCCTGCCGCCTGCCGCCTGCCGCCTGCTGCTGCAGCTGCACACCTACGTGCAGTTCAACTGTCCGCACTGGCAGCGCGCGCCACTCACACACCCAGGTACAGTGTCAGGCCGCCTGCCGCCTGCCGCCTGCTGCTGCAGCTGCACACCTACGTGCAGTTCAACTGTCCGCACTGGCAGCGCGCGCCACTCACACACCCAGGTACAGTGTCAGGCCGCCTGCCGCCTGCCGCCTGCCGCCTGCTGCTGCAGCTGCACACCTACGTGCAGTTCAACTGTCCGCACTGGCAGCGCGCGCCACTCACACACCCAGGTACAGTGTCAGGCCGCCTGCCGCCTGCCGCCTGCTGCTGCAGCTGCACACCTACGTGCAGTTCAACTGTCCGCACTGGCAGCGCGCGCCACTCACACACCCAGGTACAGTGTCAGGCCGCCTGCCGCCTGCCGCCTGCTGCTGCAGCTGCACACCTACGTGCAGTTCAACTGTCCGCACTGGCAGCGCGCGCCACTCACACACCCAGGTACAGTGTCAGGCCGCCTGCCGCCTGCCGCCTGCCGCCTGCCGCCTGCCGCCTGCTGCTGCAGCTGCACACCTACGTGCAGTTCAACTGTCCGCACTGGCAGCGCGCGCCACTCACACACCCAGGTACAGTGTCAGGCCGCCTGCCGCCTGCCGCCTGCCGCCTGCCGCCTGCCGCCTGCTGCTGCAGCTGCACACCTACGTGCAGTTCAACTGTCCGCACTGGCAGCGCGCGCCACTCACACACCCAGGTACAGTGTCAGGCCGCCTGCCGCCTGCCGCCTGCCGCCTGCTGCTGCAGCTGCACACCTACGTGCAGTTCAACTGTCCGCACTGGCAGCGCGCGCCACTCACACACCCAGGTACAGTGTCAGGCCGCCTGCCGCCTGCCGCCTGCCGCTGCACACCTACGTGCAGTTCAACACATTCACATTTTTGAGAGTATCACATGGGTCTCATATTAACACATCTTGAGTAAACAAACATACTTGTGCAGTATTCGTTTTTAAATGTTAAATTACGACTGCGCAGAAATCATTGTCTATGATTTAAGTCCCGGCTAAGCAGGCCGGCAGGGTGAGGATGGCTGGTGTGGCAGGTAGAACTGCTGTATCAGCTATCTTCGCGTCTGGACTTCACCTTCACTTAACATCAGGTGGGGTGAAGTCATTTGACGGACCTATCTATAAAAAAAAAAAAAGTTCAAGAATTTTGCTGAGATTCTTACAAACGTAATATAATTAAATCGCAGCTCATAAAATTTAGTAAAGGAACTGTTAAGAATGTCCCAACAATATACCGAAAATATTTTCAGAACTTATAGTTTTCTTCGGCGTTTGGTTGTAAATTTATAACAACATCTCCCGTTTTCAGATGGCAAAGAATATTATTGCGAGAAACACGACATATACAGTCAGTCGTGCAACGTGTCGTACACGTCGCTCAATCAGAACCAATTGAACGTTCCAAACCCCGTGGAAATGCGAGATGGCTCCGTACACTTCGCAGATTCAGACGACGAATATCCCACAATGAACAATCTCAACCAAACCGATTTCTCTCACACCAAACCCATTGTCATAGATTCGGATAACTCCAAAATTGACAAATTCAATGATATTGACTCGGCCAACCATTCTTTTGATGACGGAGTGGATGTAGTTGATGGTATCATAAGCAACGGCTTGAACGGTTGTGAATACGATAGCGACGAAAAGAAGAAAATACAAGGCAACTCTGTTGATAGCGGCATATCCAACAATATCAATGGTACTAACACTAACGGAGTTGAAACGAATGGGATAGTTAATGGCCACAATGGAAATGGTAATCCGGAAATAGACAATCTAGAAGTTAAGACGAAGAGTTTACCGTCTAGGTTGTCGGATTTGTCGTTGAAAGAGACAGAAAACATGTTGAACTCGAGTAGTGACGAGGATAGATTCGAGAGTGACCAAGACGTTTCTCCGCGGCTGAAGTTCAATGGAGTTAATGGTTGTGATAAGAAGAATGGGGTGTCGCTGAATTTGAAACTACAAAGCGATATGAGGTAAGTGAAACGATATTTGTATTGATTTATCTTTAAAGCATTAAACTTCTAAATCTACACATTCGAAACTACACCTTTGCACAAAGGGCTTTCTAGGAGATTTTTACCATAAAAGAAATTAACACACTACTGTAACGATAGTTTAACATAAATAAATAAAACAATAGGAGACCTAGAGACCAGTAGTAAAGTGCTATTCAAACTATATGACGGTTGTGAAGTTAGCCGCGAGCGTTTAAATTTTGAGCCACGCCCCTCTGGGAAGTCCTGTACATTAGAAAAGATTACAGTTAAATATCACTATTAGTTTAGTGTTGTTGTGTTTCTGTCTGATATTGCAAGCGTCTAGCTCCTTACCGTTAGGTGGGAATATGCTTTGGTGCTACCTTTTATATCTGTTATTACCAACGATATTAAATACCCTAGATACACCACGTTCGCTCAAAATGTGTCCTAATCAAGAAGCCCTTAAACATCACTAAAGCACTTCTTGGTTCAGTCATGCGCGGACTGTTGAAAAGTCAAAATGCCACAGAGCTCCGTGAAAAAATGCGAATAAAATACTTATAGTACGCAAAGTCTAGTTTTTTCGACAGGTATCTAATCAATGTTTGTTAAATTAACGCATTTGAAGCGAATTTTGTTCTAATACTTACTATAAAATGATTTAATAGAAAATATTTGTGATATTTAAATGCATTGTCGGTAATATAGCCGACTCATTTCCTCGCGGTCCGTACCTGGTATTTTGCTATCAGCGCATTCAGAATTGCGCGTAGAGACAAAGAAATAAGGTCTATATTCTTCCGCATATAGGAATAAGTTGTAAAATTTTGTCATAACTCTTTGATGATAGTATGAAAATAATTTAATAAATATGTATTAATAATACAACGCAACATTGAATGACACGAAAGTAGGCCACGTGAAATGCTGATGTTTTGTAATTTTATTGTGTGTTATATTTTATAAGTGTGTGTGTGTGTAACTACGTAGTGCACTAATATTATAAATAAGTATGTTTTGTACCATTAAGCCTTCTTCAATAAATGGACACCAACCTGTCTACGTCTTTGTATTTATTATAACCTGCCGCCATCACCCAACATACCACATGGCGACCCTGCGAAATTTGGAAGAAAAATTATAGAAATAAATTGAAGAAAGAAGATATTGAAACTGAACTGAACGTCAAGTAAGAAGAAGTTTGAAGATTGAAAATTATTATGAAGAATCTTATTTTTGGGGCAGTCGCGCCAATTACCAATAACAATGTGCCGTAGCTCACAGTCCAAAGAAGAAATTATCATCGCTCAAAACGCCGGTGGAAGCGCTCAAGTAACGGAGACCAAGTTGAACCTTACCGAGATCCTGCTCATCACGCTATTCGTCATTCTGTTCGTCGCTGCCGCATACCTATTGTACAAGAAGTGCCGAAGAAATGCTATTCTTTCGTTGAGAAGGGAGCTCAACCACAGCACCTTGGAAATGCAAGCAAGACCATCAAATTAGGAAGTCCCCGTCCCGGCCGTCAACAGGAATAGCAGCACGGGCCACGTTGTTTGATGTCAGCAGAACGTGACCGCCACAAGAACGCCGCCCGCCGCAGCTCGTGACGTCAGCAAGTGAATTGGAAGAAAATATATGTAGGTACAATTTAGCTGCTATTTCTAGAATTCAATTATGAGTTATTTTATTAAATTAGAAGTAATAGATAGTTATGTCTCATAAATTAGTTGAATTATATAGTAAGTTACAGGAAATAAAAGTATATTTAAGTAAAATAGGCCCTGAACGTAGAAAGAAAGAAATCGGTCAAACTAAATTAAAAGAAGCCAATGTCATTTATTTGCAACTAGAGTATATTTTGTGTGAAATTAAAGCTAATATTAATAATTCTGAGATAAGTGCCGAAGATCTTATTAAAGTTAATTCTATAGTAAATAATATTCATTTAATTTATAGTGAAATAAATAAATTAGTTACTTTTTCAACTAGAGATCCCGATAGTTCTAAAACTACAAAAATGGCAGATACAATGTCCTTTGACTTTAAAACGGCTATTAGTTTACTTCCCATAATGACTGGTCAGGAACATGTCACCAAACAATTAATCGACGGTATAGAAATGTATAGTTCTAAACTTGATGAGACATCGAAAAATTCACTTATAGATTTTGTATTAAAAACAAGATTATCTCCTAGCGCGAAACTTCGCTTACGCGGTAGCTATACAACAGTTGGTTCATTGCTCAGTGACATGAAAAAGTATTTAGTACAAAAAAAATCGGCAGTCGCTCTTCAGTCTCGGTTACAAAATGTAAAACAGGGAAATAGGTCAATAGAAGCATTCGGTAATGAACTAGAAGATATCTTCTCTAATTTGACATTAGCACAGGCCGATGGCGATAGTTCAAAATATGACGTATTGCGACCAATTAATGAAAAGATCGCTATAAAACGCTTTGCCGATGGTTTGGCAAACTCTAGATTGAGTATTATTATTGCATCAAAGGAATTTCTTTCTCTTCCCGAGGCAATCCGTAGTGCTATAGACGAGCAAACGCTTTCTACCAGTGGGGAACAAGTTATGAATTTTCGTCACCACCCTAAGTCCACGAAAACATTTCATTTTATTAATAAAGGGTTCCGCGGTAGAAATATTGGCAATAATTATTATAGTAACTCGCGTGCTCAATACGGTAACCCGATCCAGTCGCATTATGTGAGCGCGCCGCGCACGTTTGCGCCGCACCGTGGTTCCGGTCGAGGTCGAGGCGCACCCTCCCCGGCCGCGCGCTGGTCAACGCCAGGCGCGCAGTATCAGCCCCGTACACGAGGCTATTCCCGTGTCCACCATACGTACTGCGACACTGAGGTAAGGCAGCCTCGAGCTCCAACCTCAACCATGAGTGAGAGTCAGTTTTTTCGTTCCTCAAACGAAAACAGAGCATGTAGTTCTCAATTATAATACTTCGAGTACGGTAGCTTTTAGTTTAGGAGATAGGGTAATACATTTATTAATAGACACTGGTGCCAGTTTATGTGTAATTAAGTATGAATATTTAGCTAAGGTATTTAGTGATTTGAAAAATAAAATTGTTCCCGAAAGATTAACTATTAGAGGTGTTAGCGGTAGGTTAATATCAGAAGGTTACATTTATTTAGAATTAAGTAGTAACAGTATGACTTTTAGACATAAATTTTACGTATTTAAGAACCTGTCATGCTCTGCAGATGGAATAATAGGTGATAACTTTTTAAAACAATATTTAGCGTTAATTGATTATGGTAAAGGCATTTTAAGCCTAACTCAGTCGTCTAAATCGATAAGTATGTGTATAAATAACAGGTATAAACACAACATACCTGCGAGGTGTGAAACTATTAAGTTCATACCTACGAATATAACCGACGATTGTGTCGTCCTTGCGAATGAAATAAGAGAGGGAGTATTTATTGCAGGTGTTTTGTCGAGGCCTAGAAACGGGCTTATCCCGATTAGAATATTAAATACGACGGAAAATGACCTAATTTATGATTTTTCTCATTTAGAAGTATATAGTTTGCATCATTTCGATGTTTGTAATTTTTCGGAAAGGGAAATTTCCGTAAATCGTGTAAAAACATTATTTGAGCTTCTTAACCTAGGTTATTTAAACAAAGATGAACGACTTAGCATTGAGTCTATTTGCGCTAAGTACGCGGACGTGTTTCATCTCCCAGGTGATAAACTGTCAGTCACTAATTTAATGGAGCATAAAATTACTTTAAAGGATAATGCGACTCCTGTTTATATAAAACCCTACAGAATACCACACTCTTTAAAACCAGAGTTACGTAAACAAATACAGGATATGTTAGACAACGATATTATTGAGGAATCCACCTCGGAGTGGTCTAGTCCCGTCTTGCTTGTTCCGAAAAAGACCGACAAAAATAATGAAAAGAAGTATAGGTTTGTCGTTGACTATAGGCAATTAAATAATAGAATTCAAGATGATAAATTTCCACTTCCCAATATTACAGATATTTTAGATTCCTTATCACATTCTATGTATTTTTCAAAACTAGATTTGTCCCAAAGTTATTATCAATTAAATTTAAATGAAAATTCAAGAAAATACACTGCTTTCCATTTAGATAGAATGTACCAATTATCCCTTCATCCCGATTCACGTAAGTGCACCGCTTTCACAGCTGATAAAATATACCAAATGAAGCGTTGTCCGATGGGACTTAAAACTAGCCCTAGCGTATTTTCTCGATTGATGACTATAGCTATGTCTGGATTGAATTATAATCAATGTTTTATTTATTTAGACGATTGTATCGTTATAGGAAATTGTATAGAAAATCATAATAAAAACCTAATTTCTGTGTTAGAACGCTTAAGAAAAGTTAATTTAAAACTAAACCCTTTAAAATGTGAATTTTTACGAACAGAGATAGTATACTTAGGACATAAAATAACAAGTAAAGGCATATTTCCTGATCCAAGCAAAATAACAACCTTGCAAAGTTATCCGACACCGACTAACGTTGACGAGGTCCGAAGATTCGTGGCCTTCGCTAACTATTATAGACGATTTATTTTACATTTCGCTGAAATTGCACATCCACTAAATAGACTTTGTAAAAAGAATGTTGCATTTAATTGGACAGCTGATTGTGACGAAGCATTCAAAAAATTAAAATCTGCTTTAATAAAACCCCCAGTTTTGGATTATCCCGATTTTTCTGAAAATAATATTTTTAAATTGCAGACTGATGCCTCAAGAACAGGTTTAGGTGCAATATTATCCAATGGGAATGATAGAGTCATTGCATACGCAAGTAGAAGTTTAAAGCCCGCTGAGACGCGATATCCGATTATAGACTTGGAGCTATTAGCCATAGTTTGGGCAGTGAGGCATTTTCGACCTTATTTATATGGTAGGAAATTCCAAATTCTAACCGATCACAAGCCTCTTATTTATTTATTTTCTATGACAGATCCT